CTCATTGTGATTATGTTAAAAAAGAACGTGTACATAAAAGAAACATATGTCAAGTATTTATGCAGGCTTGAAATTCAATAAAAAATGGGCATGTCCATGTATCATTGAGACTCTTACGTAGAAAATGACTGATTTTTTTTTATCAGGGCCCTGCTGTATATCTCCTGCTTCTCTGATGTGACATCAGTTCTCTGATGTGACATTAGATACGTCAGGAATTAAATTTTAAAAATGTAGGAGTGGTAAAAATGGGAATTTCTCTTTTTTTTTAATCCTGCTGTTTCTGTGGTACTTGTTGCAATTAAAGTTATCTGCCTTTTGATCTTAATAACTAAATCAAAATTTACTGGGCATTCATTCATTTGTAATTAATTTACAATTCTTTATATTTTAGTTAGCAAGATAAATAGATTGAAAACTTTATTTGCAGATAATACACAGTGAAAAGACTTGCACAAGAGCTTTTTTTCCAGTAAAAATGGAACTTGTAAATTTACTTACCTTGTCATTGGCCATTTACAACATTATTTTGTTAAAAAACATTCTGATTGTACACAAGTGCTTTGAAATTGACATAAGAAAAATGCTTTAGTTTGTTATTGACAATATCTATGTAGTCTTTTTCGAAACCAGGTCTTCTAACAATCTGTCAGAATTCCCATGGGTACCAATTGTGCTTGGTTATTAACAGACCTAATTTTGAATTCATTTGAAGCTGAATTTATTCAAAATCTTATACGAGGAGAAGAAAACACTTGCTGTGGCCTTCCACTCAACCTTCAGATAAATCGACGACGTATTATAAATTAACAATAGTTACTTCCATTCATATGTCGATTCGATATACTGTATACAGGGTTATTTTCGCCTCGTGTTATTTTCGCCCTTTCACACTTGCAAACAATTTTGCCCCGTTTTAAATTCGCCCAGTCACAGTTCTTTTTAAGAAATTTTACTGTGTTCTTTGAATTCACCCTGTTTTAAATTCACCCAAATGAGAGCAGGGCGAAAGGGGCGAAAATAAAACGGAGGCGAAAATTTCCCTGTATACAGTATCTCAGTGAGATTGAAATAAAAGATACCACAGAGTCAGACACATCTGTTTTATATTTGGATATCTTACTAGAAAAATTCGTTAATGGTAACCTAATAACCAAGATTTATGATAAACGTGAGGACTTTTACTTTTCAAACTTCAACTTCCCTTACTTATGCAGCAATACACCATTATCCCCTGCATATGGCGTTTATGTGTCTCAGTTGATTCGATACCAAGAGCATGCTCTACGTAGGAACAATTTCTAATACGAAGCAAGCTATTGACGAAAAAAAAAATGATGACACAAGAATATATCAACAGTCTAGTTTAGGTTTTCATGTCGTAGGTTCTATGGTCAATACAATAACCTTGTCAGCAATTACAATCAATCAGTAAGTCAAATGCACAGGTGCGATTTTTTTCAGTGACTTATTAAATTATTCTCCAAACCGAAGACATATTGAAGGACTACGAAAACCGGAAAAAGCTATTTTTGAGAAGGAATAAATATTTATCTATTCACAACGAGTAAGTGTCTCTTTAGAACGGGTTGGTATCTCATTATAACGGATGAGTTATCTTGTTATAACGAGTTATTTATCTTTTAACAACAAGTTTATTATCTCCTCATAAGGAATTAGTATATCGTTAGTACAATGCATCGTGATATATCGTGTAAATTTCTAGTAATAACGAAATAGTATCTAGTTATAACAAGTTAGTTATCTAGTTTTATTATACCTCTTCCGCTGCACCTAGGGATATATTCCTGGCCTTGGGGAACTGGGATCTTGCTTACTCCCTCAATGATATACTTTTACTGTATAATGAAAGATTAAGTTTGTATCTTGTTATACCGAGTTTGTTTGTCGTTATAACGAGTTAATTATATCGTATTGACGTGATTATTGTCTCGATATAAAGAGTTAGTTATCTCGGTTTAGTGAGTTGGTATCTCGTTATAACGAATAAGTTATCCTGTTTTATTACACCTCTACTAATTTTTCCCTTTACAAAATTAGATCGTTAGATGTAAATAATTTTCTGTGAAAGGACTAATCCCCGGGCGTTAGTGAAGTGAGCTAATCCCTGCTGCTTTGAAAGTTAATTCTCGGTTATCCGTAATCCTCTAAATTTACTTAAGGAACAGTTTTCAAACTCAAAAGTCCACTCAAACAATATTATCTAAAAATCAGGAGAAGAGCAAACGCGAACCTCTCAAACATCAGAGGTGGGATCAGGTACCATGAAGGAGTGAGCATCCCCTGTCGACCGGTCAAACCACCGTGTGCTCCTTGTCATAAACGGGAAATAACGGAAAAAAACCCATCTACAATTCAGCATGTAAACAATGGTCTAAAACTTTGTATGTAAAACGTCAGTCAGCATTTGACTGAATGATGGATTGTTTTTGCTGACAAGGTCGACCATATCAACCATAGACGAGAATATTCTTGTTTCATCAACTTGTGTGTCAATAACTTACCTCATTTTAAAAATTGTTAAAGACAGGAAACTCGTCGATCAACGGGGCTTGGAAGTTATTACACGTCACTGGATAACGATTAAGGTGCTTATTGGTATCATTTAAACATTCTACTGGGAATAAATACCAGTGACATAACTTATAATATGTTATTTACGTCTTTGTGATTCATTTTTAAAGTTTTTTTTCCAATACATATACCTTCATTATTTTCTGCTCGGGATCGAAATGCGCTACACTTGTCTTCATGAGAAGATCGATGAACGATAATGAAAATGATCGCTGAACCATCAACATGGAAAAAAAAATGGCTAAACCTAAACGAGTTAGAGCCATTTGCCAAATTCGTCAATGTTGCCTAGTATCTCATAATATGGAGTTATTAGCCGCTAAAATATGAAGCCCGCTTTTATAAGTACGCATACAGTATTTTACAAAACAACAGTCACAAAGAGCTTCAGTATACAGGTATTACAAAAAATTACATTTTCACTATTTATATCTAATAACCTGTATATTCTGTATTATTCATTATTTGTAAGGAAATGATTTTTTTTTGGTATATTTCAGGCTAGTTGATAATTTCTGGGGAGGCCAGTTTTCAAAACAATACGGAATCAGAGAATGTGAGATATATCTGTGGTAAAGGTGAATAACTTTAAAATCTTATATGAAACCTATTCTTAAATAACCTTTAAATTAATTTGTTTTATTTATTCAGTATTTTTTAATTTATGATGCAAGTGCAAGTAGTGTGAATATTGTAAATAATAAAAAATAGTTTTTTAACTTTCAACTCTAATTTTAAAATTTGTCTTGTTTTTGAGAGAACTTTGGACAATTTGTTGGGCTAACTGAAGACCTTAGTTTGAATTTTAGTCGTAAAATGGGTTAATTTTGTAGCCCTAACCACCGCACAAAGATCTGGGAATAGTGGAGACAGCAGAAATTTAAATTTAGGGATCAATGGTCAATTCTACTGTAGCAAATGTAACTACACATACTTGAAAATTTGTAAAAGTTGAGTCAATGACTCTACTACGATATTCTAATTGAAGTTTGTCTTAAGGTTTTTTTTTTATTTCTGTATGGAACAATCTTTCATTTGTATAAAATGATTTTAAAAATCTTTATTCTTTAACAAAACATACAAGAAGCTGAAGGTATCAAAGAACAAAAACAATTTAAAAAAACCCTGAATCCCCAACTAAGAAGAAAACTAAGACAACCTGCCCCCTCCCACAAAAAAGATTCTTAAGCGTATAACATCATGTCCGTTTCTTAGTCAAATCAACTTGAAGGAATCGTCATCTATTTTAGATAGTTATCATGACAGAAAAAGCAAGAATTTGACCAAAATAGAAGAAATAGTCGAATAATTAATTTGTACTTAACCGTCATCCTTATAGCACGGGATCCCACCTCTGATGAATTGTCTAGTGATTTTCCCGTTCGCCCGATCATGACAAGGAGCACACGGAGGAGTGACCTGTCGATAGGGGATGCTTTCGTGTCCATGGCACTTGATCCCACCTCTGATATGTAGAAGTTCATGTTTGTTCTGCTCCCGATTTGTATTGTTTCAATAGAATTTTTGAGCTTGATTACTGTTCATTATCTCCATACTTTACGCAACATTTCATTTTATTCACATATACGAATTTTTATTTTGTCAATCTTTCCACAAAAATTTTCGTTAAATCATCATATTTAGCACGCATCTATAACATTTTTAAATTCAAAGGAAGATCTTTTGTCTGCATTGACAATGACCCTTGCAGAGTATTTAAAAAGAAAATGAATTCTTCTAAACGCACTTATCATAAAAGATAAGTCAATATACCTTTCTTATTTTAGCTCTTTACTGATATAGACTTAACCCTCGTCCATCCGACCGTCCGTCTGTACAATTCTCAGTCTCTCCATAAGCTATAATAAAAATCAAAAATACAATGCCTCTCGTAGGTTTGTCCAATTTCAAACGAAGTTGACGATACTGGCTTCGGGGCCACCGACATTTTAAAATTTCAGATTTGAGAAAATCTCACCGTTGGTGGCCCCGAATCCTGTTGACTATAAATATATGAAAAAGTTGACAAATTGCGATGTTAAAAAAAAAGACAATACCTTATGGTGTCCATTTTATCATATTGCTTTTCGAAAAATACATCATGATCTTAATTTTAAACTTCTTTGGATGACCATTGTATAGTTTTCATCAAATATGTTATTGTTCCATTTGCAAACGAAATGTGCTGAAAAAACTAGTTTTATATTAATACGATACATACATAAAGTAAAACAGGAAGTACATGCTGAAGGTCACGTGTCAAAAAAACAATATCAATATTGTATAAAGTTAAATTATTAAACAAATGTTTATTTTGAAATTGCTTTCCCTCTTTAATATTGTTTAGAATACTTGATTTATTTAATGTCAGCAAATTGTGTCTCTCCGTAGTCCCGCCAGTCACTATGAGCACCCTTGGATGCAAGTACGACAAGAACACGTGTAAACATGACCTGTGTCTACAGTGTAAAGAGAGACATGTTATTGATCTAAATACCATATACCATGAAGTTGTGATTTACCGCGAGAAATATGAATACATGCCAAAACAAGAGCCTTGTATGAGACATCCAAAGAAAATCTATGAACTTTTTTGTCACTCATGTGAACTTCATGTGTGTAACCAATGTAAAGTACACAGAAATCTTCAAATGTAAATCAGATGTCAACAAAGGTCCACAGACTAAAGGACCTCATAGACACTTAGATATGTGATGTTTTACATTATATGACTCGTAGATTCGTAGATTACCAGAACAGAAAAGAACAGTTATCAGACACCTTGCCAGCATAGAGGTCTTTGAACACAGATCTGAGCAGTCAGCAAATAGACCAGTAAAATTCCTCTTATTTCTAAAGAATACATGCGTATCACAGATAAAGGACATCCCTTATCTTTCACAACACGTTAGGCTAATTAGTGAAATTCAGATCCTAGAGACAAGAAAAAGAAAATTAACAAATGAATGTCTGCTGAAACTGATGTCTAAGCCCATGTTGCTCAGATCTATTACAGTGAATGATGTTAGTAGCGTAGATCACATTGCCCGTGTGTCATCAGACCGGTTCTGGATCAGCAATAATAAACACAATCTTGACAAACTTAACAGGTAACACACTGCTTCATCTGACAGATGGATTCAGAATGGATGGATAGCACACACGGAAAACAATACCGGTGATCTTATTTACATAGACAGAGATGGTAACATTAACAAACTATATAAAGATAACAGATCAAAGCTTACCTTGATGAAGAAAACAGATTTTTGGATACTGCGCTGTGTTTACTGCTCCCCTACCAATGGAGTTCTTTTGGTTGGTATGTATAATTATGATACCAAAACAGGCAAGGTAGCACTGTATAAGGACACAGGACAACAGATACATACCATACAATACGACATTACAGGTCTGGAACTATATGGTCTACCTAGATACATAACTGAGAATTGTAATGGGGATATCATTGTGTCTCTCTGTATTGATGATGGTACTAATCGTGGTGAAGTAGTCGTAACAGAACGTGGAGGAAGACATCGCTTCTCCTATACAGGACCTCCATCAGGATCAGAACTTGATCCATATGGAATCTGTACAGATGCATTGTCACACATCCTTGTGTGTGATCCATGCACCCAGGCAGTACACATGATATACAAAGACGGCTACTTCCTGTCACTGATACCAACATTAGTGATAGATAGACCATGGAGCCTGAGTTATGATGTAAAAACTCATCTTCTTTGGGTCGGATCATTAAATGACAGGATTTGTGTCTACAGATACATAGATAGGCAAACTCTTTGATTGATAATTTTAATCAGTTATATGTGCAAACTATCTGACAGATCATTAAATTTAGTTAATTAGATAAATATACTTACATGTATACATGATGTTATATTGATTTTTATCCCTATTATTGTCTATAGAATTCGGAATTGAAGGAAGCAGAATAGATCAAAGTTCTACAAAAAAAAAATAATAAAAAGATTTAGATTATTATTCCTTTAACATCTGCTTATGTAACTTAAAAGTAAATAAAATAGTATTTTCTTCCTCAAGACTCAAGAGGCTAACTGTACAACTTAAACAAACCTTTTGTGGCGTGAAAACATTTATAACATTTTAAATATTTCTTTAAGTGACATTTATAAGTTAGAAAATTCATAGCTTTTCCGTTGCCATTATTTTAGCTTTCTATTTTCATTTAATTGCGGCTCAAATTCATCAGCCTATATCATCAGCTGATGCATATTTCTGATGCAAATGTTATTTTCAAATCTATGTAACGATGACATGTAACATCGAATTCTTTAAATAGTAATAAAATTCTTTAAATATTAATATAATTCTTTAAATAGTAATATAATTTCTAACAAAATTTTTATCTGCATTGGCGCCAAATATAATTATATGACACCGTAAACAAATTTTAATAACAAAGAAAAAAAAACCTTTCATCATCGTTTTAACAAATATCATCAAGTTAAGATATTAGGTTTTGGTGAAGGTACTCATCATTTTCCCCTCTAAACCGTCATCCCATCGACATTCTTCTCCTACTGTATCCCCTCTGTCACTTTATGACCAAAAATTTAATTAGGTGAGTTCAACACAAAACTGAATATACAGAAAATCGGGCAAAGCCGATTAAAAACAAAGAAACTAACTTTAGATCATCCGACTGCCTCATTTTCCAAGACATTGCTTCTTAATTAATTCTATAATAATCTCAAATATATTACTGTATACAGGGAAATTTTCGCCCCCCGTTTTATTTTCGCCCCTTTCGCCCTTGTCACAAGTGGGCGAATTTAAAACGGGGCGAATTCAAAGAACACAGTATAATTCCTTTAACAAAACCGTGACTGGGCGAATTTAAAACGGGGCAAAATTGTTCGCAAGTATAAAAGGGCGAAAATAACACGGGGCGAAAATAACCCTGTATACAGTATATAATTAGTAAAATTACATCCAGATTTTGTTTCTCTCTCTCCATTCATTCCAAAATGAATAATACAGGTACACTGCCTAAAACATAAAATTAGAAAACCAATATTTTAATATTCTCTTCATTTTTCATAAAGAACAGAAAATTAAAAAAAACAAAACAAAACAAAACAAACAAACAAACGTAGAGCCCATGGTCTGCAATGCTCAACTGACTGAGCCCATGGTCTGCAATGCTCAACTAAGTCACTTTGGCCTGCTTTTCTTCATAAACGTATTTCTCCGCTTTGTTTTCATTTTTTGTAAAATAGTGCTTGCCCATTATGGCGCTACTATAAACCCGGTGGTCATAACTTGAACAAATTTAAATTTAAAATCTTTAAAAATGAAATTTGAAGACAACGAATAGTAATCATGCTTGAAAGTCCACTGAAACAAAACAAACCAGGAGCAGAGAAGACACGGACCTCAAAAAAAAAAAAAAAAAAAAAAAAAAAAAACACATCAGAGGTGGGATCAGGTGCGATGTAGTGCCGTGGAGAAGTAAGCATCTTCTGATGACCTGTCACGAAATAAAGGTTAGTGAAACGTAAAATGTAAACGAAAATCTGTAAAATATTTATTGTAGAGTTGACTTACTACAATACAATTGCACTGGACTGTATAATATATGGCAATTATTCGGAATTGAGACTTTGTAGTTATAAATGTTGACAGGATGTTGTGTCTCAATTCAATAGAGTAATTATGAACTTTGCGTATGGTAGAATCATGTTCCTGAAACATGCCATCTTCTGATCCGCTACTCTCCTTACAAACCCTTGGCATATAGTGCTGTCAACGGGAATGTTTACGTCACGTGATCTCGAATCTTATCACATACGCACAGATTGCGTCATCCATAGAAATAAAAAGCAAATTTAAACATTAAAGTTTTTAGAGAATAATTAACAAGAAGGTATCGAGCGATGTTTACTTGTTAATTAGGGTGCAAATCTCTATCTGTAATATAGATTCCAGGTCACATTATTTTCGGCCACAGCAGCGGCCGATCTGTTTGTGATTGTGTTAGAATGTGCACATGGAGAAATGAGACGTTATTTTTTTTTTATTGCTTCTTTGGAATAATTCCTTATTGATAATAAACAGAAAAATTAAGAATGAGAGCCTTAAAAATTTGCTTAAAACTAAGTCTAAATATTTCTTATTAGGTTGCAATTTGTTTTTCATTTCTCGTCAGATATTTTTTAATTTAATGATTTTACAAAAAGTTGTTTCATGAACCGCTCCCTAACATGGGCGTGCGTAAGATATAAAAAGAAAACGTATCGAGCTTTGTGACGGTACTTATTGTCGTTTTGTACATACTGTCGTCGGCGACAATATGTACATACCCTCACTGCACATATTGTCGTCCATCGGTACATATTGTCGCCGGATGAAAAGTTTCACATGTACATATTGTCGCTGGCGACATTATGTGCCTCACCCTCACTGTACATATTGTCGCCCCACAAAAATTGTTGCTTAGAGATTTCTTTTGTTGCTTCTTAGTAGTTTTGTGAATGTAATTGGTGTGTGAATCACACTGATGTGTCGCGTATGCTATTTCACGCAGCTTGATTGTAACGTTACATTTTGTCGTCCTGTTCATATTGTCGCCTGCGATAATGTGTACCTACCCTCACTGCGCATATTGTCGTCCATCAGAACATGTCGCATGGCAATGCAAGGTAATGCTCCATATAAATATGACTAATGATTGCTTTGCTGTTTTTGAGAAGATAAGTTTTAAAGAGTTTTCCAATATATTCCTATGTAACACTTTGGTCGCCTATTGTGGCCCCACCCTAGGCCCGGTTTGTTTTGAAGATACTTGAATCTGCGCTACCTGAGGATGCTTCCATATCAATATGACTAATCATGGCTTTGTAGTCTTTGTTGGCCTACTGTTGTTCTTCAGTGGTGGATCCAGAACGAAAGGAGGGGAGTGCGGTTCAGATTTTTTTTGACAAGCAAAAAAAGTCATTTTTTGTAAAGGTGTGTTACTGTATAAGTTAAGTAAATTATTTAATTATGAAATTTTACCTGTGGACTAAATTGAGATTATATACAAGTTAAACAAATAGAATTTAGTAAACCAAAAAAAAAAATTTTTTTAATCAAACCACGTGGGGGAGGATGGAACGGAGCTACATTTGTCTGGTTTTTGAGAAGATTTTGAAAAGTTTTCTGCATATATTCCTATGTAAAACTTTTATCACCGATTGTAGCCCCACCCTCCCCTTGGGGTCATGATTTGAACAAAATTGATTTTGTTTTTGTTTGTTTGTTTGTTGTTATAATGTCCATCTCGAGAATTTTTCATTTGTAAGTAGACGTCACCACTTACAGGTGGAGGGCTGAAAATTTAGACCTATATTTTGCACTGAGGGTCATTGAGCAGTGAGGGATCTTTTTCGTGCCAGCAAGTCAAAATTGAACGTACGCTATGTAATGAAGCTTTCACATAATTATCATCTCTTCTGACCCAGTAGTTCTTGAAAAAAAGATTTTTTTAAATATTCTATGAAAAAAATTGATCACCTATTGTAGCCACACTCTTCCCCAGAGGGACATAATCTGAATAAAACTGAATCTACTGTTCATAATGAAGATTTCACATAAGTTTCAAATTTTCTGACACAGTGGTTTTTGGGAAGATTTTTAAAAAGATGTCACTCAATTTTCACTAATTCTTAAAGGGCTTGACCCTTCATTTGAACAAACATTAATACCCTTTTTCCAAGGATGCTTTGTGGCAAGTTTGGTTGAAATTGACCCAGTAGTTCTTGAGAAGAAGCTGAAATTGTGAAAAGTTTACAGACAGAGGGACGGTCAGACAAAATAAGATCAGAAAAACTCACTTAAACTTCCAGTTTAGGTGATCTAATAATGTCAAGCCCAAGACCAATTATATCGGCACATGATTGTGTATAAGAATAACGCAAAAATGATTTCCAAATAATCTTTACTACTGAACAAAAACCAGTGGCGGATCCAGAAGTCCACGTGGGGGGGGGGGGGTTGAGGCCCGTAGGGCCGAAGGGGGAGGGCATGGGAGGGGGTGTCCCCCTCCCATAGGTGGGGGTTCGGGGGACCTCCCCCGAGAAATTTTCTTTAAAAATGGCTCCAAATGGTGCATTTTCCAGCATTTTAGATTGAATTATTTAGTTTTTGGTCACTTTTTTCCTAGTTGTTTTTCAAGACCGACCTACCCAAATTTTCAAGAAATTGAACAAAAAATTTTGGGATTATTTTTAATTTCCATGTTAACTTGAAAAATGAGACTTTTCTAAAGAAAAAATTAAATGTAAAATCTGATAAAATTAGAAATGTCGCCATTTGCTATATAATATCCAATTCTTCATTTTAAAATGCACGTCCAACACACTGTCGAATGTGAAGCTTTGTCTACCAAAATACAACTGCATGCTGTGCAATTTTCCAACACTTAGAACATTCGAATTCTGTGTAGAGACCCTAATTACTCTTTTCAACTACTTGACTATACTGTTCATATAATTTGCAATATATAAACATAATGATATTTCATATTGAAGAATAAATATAAATTATTTTGGAAAATAATTGGAATTATTGCTTATTCATGGGGGGGGGGGGGGTAATTATAATTTCTAACATAAATGCACTCTTTAATTCTATTTTTTTTTTAACCCACTTACCTGCCCAATGTTTGAAAAAAAAGTCTTGAAAAACAATCAATAAAAAAGTGGCCAATTCTTGTTTTGACAGGACCTCTAATTTATACGTATTAGTTTTACCACAATTCATTATACAAAGTTGTAACCATT